ACAGTTCCCAGTACCAACACAAATAAATGCTAGTGCAGCTGAAATTGTGTCATTTCTACTTTTCTTTCGTTTTCTTTCTTTCTTTCTTTCTTTCTTTCTTTCTTTCTTTCTTTCTTTTTGCAAGTATCAATTATCCTGAAACCAGAAAGCACAAGCTTTCTGCTATTGATACTAAAAGCGAAAAATCAAATCTATTTCAGAAATAGCAGAAAGCATATTTTTCACACTTATGAAAACAAAAACAGTTACTGTTTCCAAATATTAAAAAGGTGAACTGAAATAGCAAATGGTGTATTTAATCACATTTGCTTATGGTTCAAAATGTCAGCTGACAGCATTTGCAGAGAACTGACTGAGAAGACTGGAGAGACCTATGATATCTTGATGAAATGGGGGGGCTGGTAGAATGAGCAGGTGCAAAAGGAGAGAAATGGGTGTAGGAGGAGAAAACTGGGGCCTGTTATAGTTGTCCAATTTTGCGCTTAAGTTGCTTAGAGAGGTTAGATATTTTACAGTTTCTTATGCATGTGGGAAATGGATTATTAGCACCAGTGGGGTTGCCCTGCTCAGCTGACCTGTGTCTTGCTGAGTAACTGCAGCACACCAAGATAAGGTCAGCGCAGTGCAAACACACCAGCAGAAATGCTGGATTGGCTCTGCATCCCTCAGCCTGATAGAAGTCAGCTAAGTGGTGAAGCCCCACCAGACTGTCTGCTACTGTTTGTTGGGGAAGGGGAGAGATGGAATAACTAATAAGATATGAGAAAGGGGGAGTATAGCAGGGAGACAGTCATAGTCATTTGTAATTTATTTATATACCACACTTTCTATAGATACATTGGACCATACATTGTGCCATAGAAAATGGGCAATATTGTCATAGGGCTGGGGGTTAGTCTATATGTCAGCCTTGAATTCCACTCCAAGTCTGTGGTTTTACATCTGTAAGATAAGATTCTGTAGAAAAAGAGGCTGCTAAAGTGGTTAATCAAGGCTCTCGGTTAAGGTAAGGACTCTAGCCAGGTTTTTAAAATATCTCTTTGCATGGGGAAAAGGCCTTCCCACCCTTTGCTGGTTACAGGTGATGCCATGGTGAGTGCAACAAACTATAAACTTATACCAGTCTCGTGTAGAACCTGAACTGGAAGACTCAGAGGCCACAATTGCTCTGTGTGCTGAAACCTAAGCAGGACACAAGATCTGTTTGGAATGTTAATACTATGGGCCCTTCCATCTTACACTCAGCCTGTATAAGCGTGCGAATAGAACCAGGCATCACATAGACACCACCATCTTCAGTGACCTTCACTAGAAGGAAACCAAGGTAAGTTTCAGGATGCTTGAAATGATTTGAAATCATAAAGTGGTATACAGTAAAGATGCATTAAAATTACATTACAACAGCTACCAATAGCTGTTGGTGTGAGTGAAAATAGATGAGGTTTTAGCAAACAAAAAAACTGCTAATTGTATTATGTTTGTATATGATCTGACCTGTCCTTGAATGTTCTGGAGAATGGCAGAATGTCCACACAACAACCTAGTCACTGCAGTTTACACTAGCTGCTGCTTATGGACCAGTCTTAAGGGCAGCCCCACACTGAATGCACTTTAACAGTCCAATCTGGAGGTTACCAATCCATGAGATATAATGGGAAGGCTATCCTGTTTAGGAATAACTGACATATAAGCTAAAGTTGGTAAAAGATGCTCCTAGCCACCATCGCCACCTGGTCCTCCAGTGAAAAAAGCTAACCAACAGACTGAAACTGACACTGGGATAAATAACAAAGGATTCCCTCACCCCGGTATTGCTCCCCTTTATTACACAGCCCAACAAGACAACAACCAGAACCCACCGACAGCACACGAATCAATATGGCTCACTTGACTCAACAATTCCCCGCTTCCAAATAAACCTCACTGCAGCCAACTAAAGACAAGCAACCACACCCTAGCCCCCCCCACCTCTCTCAATGCCAACGAAACACAATAAATGAACAGAAAGTGAACCTATCCAAGAGGCGCTGATACAAAACCTCAGACATACACTAAGCAAAAGAATGTAAGCTTCACCACCCCTCCTCCCTTCTCTTCTCCCCCAACCTTATACTGATATTACCTACAACATTAATGTCTTACACTGAATGTAACTGATCAGTGGAAATTATTCTATGACCTGAAAAGAGATAATGCATGTACTTTTGCAACCCAATAAAATATTTAATAAAAATTATCTAAACAAAAACAAAAAACAAAAGTGGGTCAAGTAGCACTCCTTGACTATGCATCTACTTCTTCACTGGGAGGGCAATTCTATCTGGCCAGTTTCTAATTTTGGGAAGCATTAACCACAGAGCTACTGTTTTATCAGGGTTCAATTTACTGGAAAGAAAGGACCTCTTTGTCCAGTGGGGTGAACTGCCTAGTAAGTGTGCTTACGCCTGCAGTTTATTTATTTTTCTTATCGTGTCCCAATGTATCCTCATATTGTGTTAGATTTGTAGTAACTTGTTTATATTTTAACACATAAGTAAGGTATCTGAATATAAATAAGGTTTCTGTATTTCATTTTCACACTGTACTATACGTTTAAAATTGTATAATCTTTCTGCTACATCACCCCGAGAACAATTTTGAATCAACTCCAGCCCTAATGATTAGCTAGAAATTAAACATATTCTTTCAACTGAGTTTAACATTGATAAAAGTATTATATGCAGTAACACAGTTGTCCTGTGATTATCAGGAAAAATTCCCACTGAGTATGACCATTCCCTCCTAGAAGAAGAAAATCTAAAAGCTCATAGAATGCATATAAGGGAACAGAGACGCCTCCATTCTCCTCACATTTTCTTTGATGGGGGATATACAATGTTAGAAATACTCAGAGTAGATCCACTGAAATCAATGGATTAAAGTAACTGACACTCTGAGTATGATTACCATTGGATACCAGCCACAGAATATAACAAGTCCGCTTACCCTTCTGGTGTGGTGGCATTACGGGACAGAAGAGGCTTCACTGGGCCCCCCGACAAGGGAATCATAGCTTCAGTGCCCCTTCTTGATAGGTGGCAGGGGTCCTAAGTCTCGGGTCCGCTCCCTAACCATTTAAACAGCCCTCACCTAGGGCCTTACCTGCTTTTCCCTCGTCAGTTCCCCACCCACCCACAGTTGGTTCAAGTTAATAGTCAAGGACTTTCCTGTGGCTACGGTGGTTGCCGTTTTATGGGGCCAGGTAGGAATTTGTCCACCAGACAAATTGGCTCCAACCCAGTGGTTTTGCCTACCTCATAGCAATTGTCACAACTGGGTTGGGCATTGGGGCAATCCTTTGTCTTGGATGGAGGGGAGGTTGTAACCTCCGCCTACCCCTCCAAACACTAGGGTATTTCGTTAAAAGGATCTGGGGGGAGTGGTCATGCCTGCATGCCCAGGCGGGGCCAGGGCTGAAGACATTCCCCCAGATGGCAGTCCCTGCAGGGGTCACCCTATTTGATGTGAGTCCTAGGCACCCCACTTGGACTGGCCTACACGTCACTTCCAGTGGGTGGGCCGGAAGTATTTCAGTTGCCCCATGCCCAAGCCAAACCTCTCTCATCTGTATTCAATAAAGTTGTGGCCTGTTTCGATCCAAACCAGTCTTGGTAGTCTCTTATTTATCTGGGGCCGGGGTCTAAGGAGCACGATGCCTAGGCCTGCAATTGAGTTCAGATGTCATATTTGCAGTCTACTGTCCATTAGAAAGCTCTGACTAGTTTGTGAATTTGGATGGTTGGCTTCAATCATGCCTGTCTGTAAACAGAAGGGTTCCTTACAAACACAGATGGGACTCTGAACCAGTCTCTTATAGCAAGGAAACCACAAAAGCTTACAGCCTGCAAGATGTTGAAGGACTCTTTGTTCTTCTGCAACAGTCTAATATAGCTGCGGCTGCTCTCTCTCTATATATATATGCACATACACACACACACACACACACACACCCAACATCAACAACATATACATATAAAAGTTATTGTCAGTTATAAGTTACTGTTACCAAGGGACTGGAATAATTTATGTAACATCTGTTTTCATATTTTTTCTAATTAACATAAATATTTAACGCATAAATGCTCAGGCCACTTCTTTTGCTACTGATTCCCCACCACCACCTTTAAAGAAAAAAGTCTATACTAAAAATAGGCAGGCTCTGTTATTTAACTTGAAACATCCTTAGATGTGCAAGGAACAAAACATTCCTGTAGAAATGTAGTTAATTTCAGCTGGAACACTGGAAGGAATATGCCACAAATATCAATAGTACTAAACGTATATCCTAAATAATAGGTTGAGCAAGAGATTTCGGAATGTAGTAGCAATTAATACATTTAACAGTATCCAATGCAAGGAATTTAAATGAAGAACCAAGTGGAATGTGTAGACTTAATGTCCAAAACTCATGCCTCACAAAGTTTAGTAGGTTTTTCTGCACTGCCATAAGATGTATGGATTTTTACTAACTCTGGAATTGCTGTGCTATCTTTTAGTCTCCTAAATATGAAAGCCTACAACTTAGTTGTCTTATAAACCCTAAATATTCCTAGTTCAAATCTTTCATTGGCTACAAACTTAGTGGATTCCTCCAGAAGATCTCTTTAGAAGATGCCTTATACCAAGTCAGGTCACTGGTCCATCTTGTTCAATACAGTGGTACCTCAGGTTACATACGCTTCAAGTTACATACGCTTCAGGTTACAGACTCCGCTAACCCAGAAATAGTACCTCGGGTAAAGAACTTTGCTTCAGGATGAGAACAGAAATTGTGCTCCAGCGGCGTGGCGGCAGCGGGAGGCCCCATTAGCTAAAGTGGTGCTTCAAGTTAAGAACAGTTTCAGGTTAAGAACGGACCTCTGGAACGAATTAAGTAATTAACCTGAAGTACCACTGTACTGCCTACACTGACTGGAAGTGGATCTCCAGGGTTTCAGAGAGTAAACTCTACCAGCCCCACCTGGAGATGCCAGTGATTGAACCTGAGACCTCCTGCATACAAAGCAGATGCTCTACATATGAGCTATGGCTCTCTTCCAAGAAATGGAAATTCTTCATCATTCATCCACCAACTCTTGCTCTTCTAAATGTATCCAGGCCTTCTTCATCCTCATGACCATAAAAGATAACTGGCAAAGTTGGAATGCTTCATAATATAATAAAAGATATAGAAGTCTCAATTCTCCTCCACTCGCTTTTCTGAAATACAATTTCATAAGAAACATGGTGATTTTGCCTGGAAAACCAACTTGTCGACTTCCCTTTGCCATGAATATAACATTCTCCAGCGGAGGGTGATTGGGAGGACCTGGAAAAGCAACAGAAAACGAGGTAGCAGCTTCAGTTACATTTTAGTAAATTGTCCCAAAACAGGTAATTTCAATTTATGGCCAACGTTTATCCTTGGACATTTTCCTGAGTTTAGTTTAAAAGTTTTTTAGGAAGATTCATTTCATTTTGTTTCATTTCAATGGTTAAAAGCAATTTTGCTTTTGTTTTAAAGCAATTTTGTTGCACTAGGGTGACAAGAGACTTTAAACCTAAAGTTCTGGTATGCGCTTTAATGCCAGCCTTAAGTAGTGATCGCCTGGAGACACCCAGCATATGGCACCAGGTAATCCACTGTTTTCTCTCTCATACACAGACATACACAAATTCAATACAGAGACAGTAATACTGACCTACATTATGGGGCTATTGCAAGGAATATTGTGATAAAGTATGTAAAATGCTTTGAAAACGTGAAATGCTCTACATAAAAAGTATCATCATCATTATCAGGTAAACAGCTCATATCATTATAGAGTACTCTACCCAGCACAGGAAGAGGCCAGGTATGACAACAGAAAAAAAATCCATTATAGATAACCACCATTTTAAAAAACATAGTTCATCTTAACTTTCTTCATAATGCCAATACCATGAGCTGTGCCTATTGTGAGTAATATGGGCATTAGCATAAAATAGTTGCAATGAAAGAGAAAACTCAGAATAAAAGATTAAAAGGATAATAATCTTTAGCAGAGAGTTATTGTTTAAAAGTTGTGTTCCAAGTAATAGCGTGCTATAATGGTGTTAAGTATATTTAATTTCCAACAGAAATAAAGCATGTCTGGCTTGCATTTCTAAATTGCATATAAACTATCAGAATCAGGAAACAGCTTAAAACTAGCTTAGAACTTGTGTTTGCATGGCCTGATACAAACCTTTTCTATTTGAAACCTATTAGCAGTCATCACTGACCCTACAGGATATAAGTATTAGTTATGTTCTTGTAAATCAGATAATTTTCTGGATTTATCAGCAACAGAATGTCACTGTTATCTCTCATATACTGTATTTAGTATTTTGCTTAAATAACAAGCTGTATTTCTCCACATTTGACTGACATAAGAATCACTATATTCAGGGGAGAACGAGGAACTAGTAAGCAATATTGCTCCAGCTCAGCATTCAAATGGGTTTGACAGCCCTGTTTTGGGAAATTTATGAAGAAGGTATTCCATATCCTATCATTTCAAGGAATAGACATATATTTCAAGGAACAGACAATGTACAATACTATTTTGAGAAATGATATATGTTCAAGAAACCTGCTGCTCGGTGAGAAAGGGGTCAAGCATTCAACAGTGTTCCAAAAGAAAACTAGCAAAGGTTTAGGGCTTTGTGAGCGTTCAGTACAACTACTAACGAAGTGCCTGTCAAGGCCCCAGTGGTTAACTGGGAAGCTTCCCAGGGTAAGAGAGAGAGACGGGGGGTGCAGCAAGGTGATGTAGCTTTTGACTTAAGAGACTGTGGAGACAATGGTAACATTGCAGTGGGACTCAGAAAAAAGGTCAGCAAATAGGTTTAAGGAAAAGAAGCATATCATTACCTAAAAAGGTAAAGGTAAAGGACCCCTGACAGTCAAGTCCAGTCGCAAACGTCTGTGAGGTTGCAGCGCTCATCTCGCTTTACTGGCCGAGTGAGCCGGCATTTGACCGCAGACAGTTTTTCCAAGTCATGTGACCAGCATGACTAAGCTGCTTCTGGCAAAACCAGAGCAGCGCACGGAAACGTTGTTTACCTTCCCGCCGGAGCAGTACCTATTAATCTACTTGCACTGTCATGTTTGCAAGCATCAATCACAAACATCAAAAGGTAGGGAAGGGAAGATTTGTCTGTGAAATTTGGGTAGAACTCAGGAGGGGACGGGGCATTCAAGGAATCAACAGAATACTTGTATTTCAGAGCAATTATGTTTTGTGTGCAAAAACGTACAAAAGAATATGGAGAGGCAGTCGAAGGCAAAACCAAATTGTCTTTGACGTGATTAATAAGGGCCGACAGGCTTTTCTGGATTCTGCAATGGTATTATACCTCGTGCACAGTGCCTCTTCATCTTCAAGGCTCAATCATTAAATCCAGAGGAAAGTAGGGTACTTATGCTTTCAGCAGTCTCTTGTTAACTGAACATGAGTGTGTGGGCATAACAATGCCCTTGTACATATCACTGCAGGGCACTTACATCTAATTTTGCCAGGCACAGACAACATCCAGGCCTGCTCCAGTCTCCCCCTACTCTCCAGTTTCACATGTTATATTATTCATCTTAGGACTTTAAAAATGTAAATCTCCTTGGGTGTCTCGGTAGAAAGGCAGTAGAGAAATGCAATGAAGAGCACTCCCAAAGCATCACCCTCTGAAAGCAACCATCCAAACAGGACCAGAACCACCACAAAGCAGTGCTACCTACCCCTAACTTGGACAGCTACTCCAGAAGGATACAATGGTCAATGGTACTGAAAGCAGCTGAGAAGGTAAGGAGAATTGACAAGGACACATTTCCCCTACCTCTTTCCCAAAAGAGGTCATCATGCAGGGCAATCAAATCAGTTTCTGTGCCAAAACCCCGACTGAAATGGATCTAGGAAATCAGTTTCCTCCAAGAGCGCCTGGATCTGGTACATGACCATCCGCTTAAGAATCTTGCCCAAGAAGGGCAGATTGGCAACTGACCGGAAATTAGATTAGGGGGTCTTGCACATGGCACAGTCACAGCCTGTGCTGTGGCCCCCTTACCTAGTCTGCCTCACCTCCCATACCATACCTCTCCCTGCCGAGAACCACTGTGATTGGCCCCCCTTGCTCTCCCCAGTTCCTTTCCTCCCAGATATATCTTCCCTCCCTCCATAAAAACAAGGAGCAAGGCTAGAAGGAGAGAGGTGGTAGCTGTGGGTGTTGGATTGATTCCTCTCCCCCCATCCCTCCTGTTCACCTTCCTGCCACAAACAGAAGTCTCTTGGTTCCAGGACCAAACCTCTGGCCTGCAGATGGGAACTTCTGTACTCTCTGGCCTTCAGCAATATAGAAGGCACCCAGTTCCTTGGGCCCAGGAAAAGGTGCCTGTGAGGGTCCTGGCTGTGCTTCTAGGGCCTCTGCTACTGTAGAATCTGATGCAGCGGGCTCCTGCCCATCAGCCTCAAGTTTGGTGGACCTATGGTCACCATCATCAGGCTCAAATCAAGGAATCTGGTTCAGGCTGTAAACTGGTGACTCTGCTGCTTTGATTGCTACTAGTCTCTGGGCTCATGACGCTCCTGTACTCAATAGTTCCATTGTGCCCTGGGTAAGGAGACTATTAGGTTCAAACTTCTTTTATACAAAATTCTAGATTAGTAAGAATAGTAATCTTAGCTCCCTCCAATCTTATTCTTACTTTTAAAAGTAATTTGACAATAATTTTACCAATGCACTTTAAATAATCAGGCTGGAAATGTAGATGTTGGTTACTTGTGTTATAATAGCAGCAGTTAAGTTAAAGCTTAATATATAGCTCTTAAAATAAAATATTATATTGATTTAACATTAAGTGTACTATATCGTTTTTAGCTACAAAAGCGACTATAAACATTTGTTTAAAATAACCTTTACAGATAAATGTCAGTAAAAGATACCTGAAGGAATAAACTTCCTATTTTCATCTGCTCTAAGGACATGATATACAAGAAAAGTTTCTATGTTAATTTATCTTATACCTCTGAAATCTGCTAACCTAAAATTTTAGAATTATAAATTACACTTTGCAAACAGGCGAATCTCTCCCTTTGAACCCTTATCAGGAGAAATATTCCTATGTATGCTGCCCACTGCAATTCAATTTATTTCTATGCTAAGAAAATTATGTTGCCAGTATTTTCAGACACTCAGGTGTTTTATAACATAACATCTGGTAGATTATGTAGCCTGCACCAAAAAATACAATACTTTCTACTACATTCCTTCATCACTGTTTGTAAAAGTCAATGTCACTATTGTTGCAGCCATTTTATTTTAAGAAATAAGGTTTACAATATGGAGTCTGTTCCCGGCCCTAAAAATCTGGGGTACAAATATGTTTATTTATTTCAGTGTCAAAGAGCAGTGAAGAACGAGCCTGCTTTGCTGAGGTACAGAGAAAGTGTTCAGAGTATGCTGCATTAGTCTTTTGCTTGTCTTTTTATAGTAAAGTAATTTTATGGTATTTGTGTCACAATGAAGGACAGAGATAAGCCAACTGTTTAGATTCCTCTCCTTTATGTTATGGCTTTGATCACTAACAATGCTGCGTGAACAGCCAACAGAAGGCTGACATTTCATAAAATATGCAGTGATAAAAACTAATACTGTAGCATCTGGGAACGATATATAAAATGCAGAAATACACCTAATAACTGTGATCTTAAATTACAAGTTACGAAAAGCTAGCTTGGAAGCACACACATCAGAAAGATCAAGATTAAGGTTTTTGTGTGCTTCTGATCCTAAAAATGCTTAAAATATTAATCTCAAAATATAATCAATAATTTGCCACAATTCCTCAGGTGCCTGAGAAACCTGCTTAGAAGCGTGTCTATATTTTTACATCTCAGCTGCTGCTAACTATACAGCTCTTATAAATTCTCTTAACCTTTTTCAGAAGTTTCCCATCTCAGAACTACAAATCATTTTTCTGAAAAGCTTTCTAATTTCTTTTCTATAGCAGAATATAAAAAAATTCTTCAGACTGCAT